TTTGAATTGAAAATTGATAGAGTAAAATAGACTTTTACCTACTTGCAATGTTGTGTTTGTGTATTTTATTATATTATAGTGGTGAATTTAGTTCCTGAATGGTTTCTGTATTTGTTTCTATATTTACTGTGTGCTCAACACACAGTAAAGTTAAAGAAGTGGTTCAATAAATGAACAAGTAAAAAGATGAATCAAAGTGCTCTGTAAAATGTAAAGTGCTTTATAAAGAAAACATGATACTAGTCTGTAGTAGGAAATGCCACTGAGATTTCCATGTTTGCTAGTCAGACCTTCTTGGGACAAAGTTGTCCAAATAGTTTGAAAGAACAAATAAAAATAGTGATTATACATATGGCAGGAAATTCTTCAACAAGCAGCATTAGTTTTCAAATGTGTTTGGGAAGAAATGAAATAAAGGCAGGAAAAGTTTAAATGGCAACGAGAAATAACACTATTGACCTGGATGACTATAGCTGAGGAGCGGGGAGAGAGGTGATGTATGACCAGATAAAGACCCTGCAGTAGCTAGACTCTGAAGTCACCAGTTGATGTAAAAATCACAGCGTTCCTAAGACAGTAACAGGACAGAGGAAGACTGTTCAATGTCACACATTATAGGACAATGTATATTGGGATATTGATAATCCCACTAGCAGATGAAGTTAATTTTAATACTTGGACTGTACTTTCAGATGTTTAGTTCATCTTAATTATTTCTAAAGGAATATACACAATAAGAACTGGAACAAAAATGACCAACTGAGCATTTTAAAACCCCAAATTACTATATCTATTGAATCCTTAGTTTTCTTATCTGTAAAACAAAGGGGTTGTGTGAAATGCCTCAACATTATATATTGTCTGGATATTACCATAACTTAAAGTAATTTTATTCCTTTTATAAAGTCTGCATTTGCAAACTGTATATTTAAAAGCAAATTTCATCATTTTTATACATCTTAATGTGATAGCTCCTTCCATTTGGACAGGAATCAAACAAACATGAGACAGCCTAGGTGTGCAGTATCATCTTTTTAAGGGAAAGCCTTGGCTAAGCTCATGGGCTTCCTTTTCTTGTGAGGAGTAAAGTGGAAAAGCAGGGGAAACAAGAAGGAGAAAGAGCCCAGCTGGGAAACCCAGGCAGTTAACACAGGAGACAAGAAAGGGTTCAGAAGAAGCAACTATTAGACATGGACAAAAGAAATTCAGGCAGTTTTGCTGTGTGCTTTGAGTACATTTGCTTTCGATACTTCTTCAAGAAGGTATCACAGTGACTGCTTCTGTTTGCTTTCTGAATTGATGGACTTTTCTTTTGCACGCAATTTTGTGCTGAAGCTACAGATGTGCTTTATAGATGACATCAACATTGACATATGGTTTCAAAAATCTGTATAACTGTACATTTTAATCGGTCTGCATAATAATTTTTCACAAAAGACAGAACACATATTATTTTTTATTTTCCAAATTGAAAACTGGGAGTCATGGAGATTGAAGTGATTTTTCCGAGATGACACAGAGGAGACTCAAAGCCAAGTCAGCCGTTGTTCTCTTCATTACTCTAGGAGGTCTCTCAAAGATCACAAAAGAATTGCTTTGATATGAATAAGAGCTATCAAATTCCTTTCTTTCGTCCTTACACTTCTTCTTCAAGGACAACAAATTCTAAAGAAACAACTGTATAGTATTTTATAGTAGAATTTTCTGAAATATTAGATGTGTTCTGTGTAGTCTAAATGTGACTATGGATCACTTAAAAGGTGACTAGTCTGATCAAAGGATTGAATTTAAATTGTATTTAAATTTAATTAATAAAAAAATCACCAGCCAGCCTGGTATGGTGGTTCATGCCTTTAATCCCAGCATTCAGGAGGCAGAACCAGGCAGATCTCTGTGAGATTGAAGTAGCCTGGTCTGCACAGCCAGTTCCAGGCCAGCTGGAGCTACAGGGAGACCCTGTCTCAAAAACAAACAGACAAACGAACAAACAGAGAAACCCAACCAACCAACCAACCAACCAAAACCCCAAACCAAGCCAACACTAAAACAAAAATATGCCCAGTAGGTATAATATTGGACACCATAGCTCTAAGTAATACCTTTGAGATTCTTCCAAATACTCTAGATATCTTATAGCAAAGTAATTGTGTTCAATTCATCTTTAGCTTTAATCTTTAGTTTTCTATTTGTTAGTATCTCTTAACGTCCAAACTGTTCATAAGCGAACCAATATACTGTCTGTGATTTGGCTGGTTTAAGATATCTGTCTTTACTTTTAATATTTCTAATCACATATTACTATTTCTATAAGTAATGAAGGCGAAATAGCTAAGTTCCTCTGTAGCACCATTCTCCTGATTCCATCCTGTTGGTCTGTGTGACTTTGTTACGTCTATCTGAAGATCATCACTGCTGTTCTTTCTCTGTGCTCATGGAACATTGACAGGTCCATATAAAGTCTACAATATTGGGCTCCTTTATGAAATTCCTAGAAACTCTGTTTGCCTTTTCTCTCCAGTAGACAGGCATCAAGAACAAACCAGAAGTCCAACTTGAATCAGTGTTTCATAGAGGAAAGAAAGTCCAGCAATATTTCTCTTTCCTATTCATGGATTCATACAAAGTAGAACTTCTTCTTCCCCTTAACTCTTAGTTCCCTTAGAAACTTTCCCCATATTTTAGCAGTGTTTTTACTTCCTCCAAGTTTTCCCTGTTACTTGGTACCTTGGTGCACTCAGTCATTCAAAGAATTTTATTATTCATTGAGCAGAATTATCAATTATTTTGAGTCTAAAATGGAAGATGAGCTCTAAAGGGTAAAAAGATAAAATTACTACTTACAGAGATTGTGTATGGAGTCAGATGCACGTGCAAAGGTATTTACGTGGCTGCCAATCAATTGCTGTTAGCAGCCAAGCTGACTGCCAAAGCCTGTGAAAGTGCCTCATCTTTTCCTCAAAGGAAGTCGTCTATGTGTCCCTTATGTGTCCATGGAATACCATTACATTAGCAAGTCATTTGGTTATTGCTATCTGAGCAAACCTACGGAACAGGGAAAGCTGAATATTTCACATAACGTTGAATACGACTGAGACACAGATTGTCATCACACCCTTACAATCACCTTGCTCTTCTATTTTCCTTTCCTGACAACATTAACTAAATTTAGGAAAAAGTTACCGCTCACCAGTTACTTAAAAATGTAAAGCAAAATAGACGTGTCAGAAAACAGCACTTGCTTAAGTGAAACATGTGATGATAAGTGACATTAGGGTAGGGGACGGATGCTGTCCAAATGTAGACGTTGTACAGTTGTACAGACTCTAAGCTATTAGTAAATGTCACTGTAACTACATCTTTGCATTTTGAAACCTGTACTGCAAATGTTGAACACTGTATCTTATAAAAACCAACAAATTTCTTGGCACAGAATGTGAAAGTTTCATGGGTTATGCTGCTGTTGGAACTGTGTCTCACAGCATCTGATTTTCACTTTTAGTAGTTTAGTTTATATTCACTTGAGAGATGCCTTTCCTTGATTTAGGTGTGGGGACATTACAAATCTGGATAGTGATCAGATGGCAAATGGGAGCTCAATCTGAGAAGCTTTTTGTCTCTGTTTCCTTTAGAGAGGGAAGGAGTTGGTATGAATGAAAGCATGGATCTAACAGGCAGCAAGAGATGGGTGCTGCAACTGATAGAACCACATCTGCTAAGTGACATAAAAATATTCTAATATTAAGGATTATCTTACAACTCTGTGGAAGGAACGCAGTGACACATCTTGCATTTGTTTTGTCTTGATGACAAAATACACTCTTTAGAGTCACAAGAGCCTGCCTTGTGTTAGTTATAAACAAAATATATTTTTATATATTTATGTAACTACTATGTGCTTTAAAGAAAATTACTGCATGATTCAGCAGGGTTCGTTCTTCTTTTGTTTCTTAACACCAAGAATATGTTGACTTCAATGGCTTCTTAGAGAAGAATTGACAATGAATTGGGCTTTTCATACAGAAATGGCAAACTTTAAAAAAAAACCCATGTGTTTAAAATCCTGTAAGACCTTTGTCTCAAAAATGATCACAGAACTCTTCCTATTATTTTCTTCTGTTTCCATCAGCCAAGAGCTAATGTGGCTTCCCAGGGCTTCCCAAGTGGGAGACGGAGACAATACTTCCTAATACAAATCAGATTTCCTACTTAGGCAAGAGAATGGGAAGCCTTACTTTTTACTACCTCCTTTCTGGTTTTTAGCTAAAAGTTTAGAAATTGTGTTACAGATCACAGAAATGGCATTGTTACCAAGAAGAGGCAGGCAGAATTTGAATCTCCTGTACAGATGGAAGATTCATCCTGCGAAGTAATGAACTTGTCGGAACAGATGCATCTAGAGCAGAAAACAAAATCCTTTTGCTGCAGGTCTGTTTGGAAAAGATAGAAAAATCTCTCAGTTTGTGTTTGGTTTTGCTCAGATGTGAGTTTTTGTTCCCAGCAATGCTGAAACATTCATCATTGTTCTTTTGAGAGACAGAGTTCAGGCTTTGGAACATGGTTACCTTTTGAGACATCAGAGAACATTTGAACCAAAGGTGTTGATCCCTTGTGAACTAAAGCTTTATTTATTATCATTCCTTTTTCCTTGATCCCTTTGAAACCCTGCACCTGAACTGACAGCATCATAATCTTGTCACACTTCTTCTAAGTCCAAAGGAGATATTCCGCATGAACCATGGATGTCATTCCACTAGGGAATTCTGTGTTTAGTAGGTACATGGTGTGTTGCACAAATTTTAATTTTCCTTTTAGCCTTCCTGGGCTGGGCTTGTCCAGAAATCTTGTCTCTTTCTGGCTACAGCAGCTTAGGGCTCCTTTGTGATCATAATCTTGTCACACTTCTTCTAAGTCCAAAGGAGATATTCCGCATGAACCATGGATGTCATTCCACTAGGGAATTCTGTGTTTAGTAGGTACATGGTGTGTTGCACAAATTTTAATTTTCCTTTTAGCCTTCCTGGGCTGGGCTTGTCCAGAAATCTTGTCTCTTTCTGGCTACAGCAGCTTAGGGCTCCTTTGTGTACATGTGTGTGCTTGTGTATGTGTGTGTGTGTGTGTGTGTGTGTGTGTGTATGTGTGTGTATGTTTGTCTTAAAGGTATAAGCAAAATTTTAGTCTTAACACCTGTAGGCCAGTACTGGTGCTGTTCTGTCCTAAAAATTTAGCACTGCTCTGATACAATAAAACCTTCTTTCTCTCCAACTGGTTCAACTTCAGCATAGGCAGGATGTCCTGAACCTCTTCGAAACTTCATCGCTGGCCATCTGCTTGGGCGTCTCTAAAACAGGAAAATGTAAAAATTATGAGCATTAAGGTGAGATCTTGTTATAGAAACAATTATATTTGCCAGGCTAAGGATATATCTCAGTAGAGTGCTTTCCCAAAACATACAAAGTCCTGGTTTCAATCCTTTACAACACACATAAATCAAGCATGCCTACTGTGGTGATTTGAATGAGAATGTCCCCCATACGCTCCAATTATTTGAGCATTTTGTTCCCAGTTGGTGCTGCTGTTTTGGGAGGTCACAGAAGATGTGGCTAAGTTGGAGGAAGCATGTCAGTGGTCAATGGCTGTGGGTTTACAGAGTTCTTAAGCTTTGCCAGATCTCCAGTTGCTCTCTTGCTTCCTGTGCCTGCTTGAAGATGTGAGAGCTTAGCTTCTGCTCATCCTCCAGCCACCTCTGCAGCCATGCCTACCTGCCATGTAGACTCTTGCTCCTTTGGAACCATAAGCTACATAAAGTCTTCCTTTTATAAGTTCCCTTGGTCATGGTGTTTTTATGACAGTAACAGAAAAGTAAATAACGGAGTGGCTCATACATGCAGTCCTAGCCCTGAGGAGATGAGGGTAGGAGGATCAGAAGTTCAAGGTCATCCTGGGATAAAAGAGACATTGTTTCAAAGACAGAAAGAAAAGAAAGAAAGTGACACAGTTTACAACTCTTTTAGCTTAACTTCTCAATGCATCACATTACATGATCACTTTTGCCATCACAGCTGGAGTTAATACGAATTCCTCTCTGTAAGTTCCCTGAGTCCTGAACCCAAATCTCCACTGTGGCCCTATTTACCTCCAGGTAGGTGGTAGTCCTTGGTCATAATTTGCTCCCAAGGGAGCTGAGGGTTTCTTAAAGGCAAGATTTAATGCATGCCTTATAATCATTTATGTTAAAGAAGTGTACAGCTATAGCAAGATAAACTATGATTTAAAAAATGCACTTTGCTTCCTCCTTTCTGTCTTCCCTCCCTTCCTCCCTCCCTCCCTTCCTCTACCCCTCCTTTTCTTCCTTCCTTCCTTCCTTTCTTTTTTTCTTTCTTCTTTCTCTCTTCTCTTTCTTTATTTCTTTTTCTTTCTTTTCATGAGTTTATGAGTACCACTTATGTTCATGTGGCCCATGGAAGACAGAAGAGGTCATCAGATCCCCTTGAAATAGAGTTACAGGTAGCTGTGAGCTGTGAGCTGCCTGATATGGGTTCTGAGAACCAAATCAGAGTTCCCCCTAAGAGCAGTAAGTGCTCTCAACTACTGTGCCATCTTCCCAGCCCCGAAAAATTCATTAAATTGTGTGTGTGTGTGTGTGTGTGTGTGTGTGTGTGTGTGTGTGTGTATGTCTTACCATGTAGCTCAGGCTGGCCTGGAAATTATGAAATGCCTACCTCTGCCATCTGAGTGCTGGGATTATCCATGTGTGCACTTCCTCACCTAACCTCAGCGTATGTGTTTTAATGCATAACCACTGATTCTTTTTTCTTCTAGAAGTCAACACCAATATAAATGTCTTTTAAATTAACTAAAAAGATAAGGCCATAGGAATAATGTAGGAATAATGTTTTCAATTAGTTGTTACACTTCCTAGTAAATGAGATAGAGTAAATATCATTTAGTCTTAGGAAAAAAAACTAATTTATTAAGAGAGCCACATCTATTTATGACTCTTGATGACTGAACGTTAAAGACATTAAATCTTAAAAGTGGGACCCATTATCAAAAGGTGTGAACAGACTTGACCCTATGAAGTTAATATTGCATGGTAGACACTAATCCTAAAATACAAGCTGTTTGTATTGACAAGAAGGGCTTTTTTTCTCTGGCACTCTATCAAATAAACTTCCTATGATTTGGAAATAGAGGTGCTTAAATGAATTATTAAGTTACAACAGAAGACATGAAAATGTATTTCATAGCCACAGCAACACTATAAATGATTACTCCATTTGTCAAAGTGTCTGAAATTCTGGCATAAATAAGGCAACAAATACTGAAGGAATTTTATTTCTATGTAAAGAATTTTAATGCAAAAAGGTTAAATATTGGTGTACATATAGTGGTTCTTGGTAGCTTGCTAGGTTTGCAAATGACATACTAACATCTATGATTAATGGCTGTGGGGGAAATATTTCACATCAAGTAGGAATGAGTATGAGCTTTATGTTCTGGAAAAACAGCAATTGAGGTCATTACATTCTGCTTATTAATAGTACCCACTTGTCTCCATTACACCATGTGGTCCGAATGTCTGACGTTTTTTAGCTGATTAAACCTCATGAGGTGAGTGAAACTGAATGTCTTTCTACCTCAGAAGACATTGAAACTAAGTAGCACGTTCCACACTGAAGCAACGAGTGCACAGTGGACACGAAGAGCATCTTTGGTGGACACATGCAGTCTCTCTGGATGTGGCTGCTGCAACTCAGAGGAGGGACAGTTTCTCCGGATGCCAGATCCTAAAACAGTACCTATCATCAAAGGGTGTGCACAGACAGAAGCCTATGAAGGGATTAAATGTAGTAACTCATGGTTACTCCTGTTTTAGCAGAAAGTCCGTTTACCTCAGGTCGCGCGATTTACACCACTTACCCATTTCCACGGCTTCAGAGCTGGGCTTCTTCCCTAGGCAAGCTACACTGTCCAGTCCTTGCTCCATATCTCTACTTTTTTAAAAGGAAAAGAAATGGCCCCTGGGTCCAGATGGCAAGGGCAGCCTACTTACTAATTTCCACACCACGCACAAGCTACTGGTCTTAAGCTTTTAATCTTAAACGACCCTTCATTAGAAAGGGTACGGATGACAGGCACGCTGCCGACGGAGCTTGTGGAAACTGCGTATTGTTAAGCTCCTCCGTATGATTCAAAGACAGGATCTCATTTAACAGTCACACCTAAATCCTGTACGTTTCACACAAACTTGCATAGCTAGGAAAGAGCAGCTGAGATAAAATGAAATCTATTTTCAAAGGTAATTTTGCCCGCTGCGGAAATGACTTCTTAAAATTCAATAGTTTATGCCGAACTCAGCCACCATTTGTTAACATGATGTTGCTTCCAGTGTACTCTTAAAGTGTAACATTATGAACATCAATATTCCTTAAAAGTTTTTTATTGTTATTACTTTACCTGTATGCCTGTATTGTCTGTGTGCAGGTAAGTGCGTCTGTGTCCTGCCCACAGAGGTCAGAAGAGGGGGTCTGATCCACTGGAACAGGAGTTAAGGTGGTTGTTAGCTACCACGTGGATGTTGTGACCCGAACCCAAATCCTCTGAGAGCAGCCAGTGCTCTTAACTGCTGAGCCATCTCTCCAGGCCAATAAGAACATCATTAAGTAAGAAATTTTATGTTAATACTTTTTTTTTCTGTGAAAATATGTAAAATTATCGGTGACATTTATTATGGGTGGTGTAACACCCATAATAACAATTCAAATTTATTTTTGGAAATTATTGTTTAGTTTTTTTATTGAATAGTGCTGGAGACTGAACCCAGGGCCTTGTATACCCTAGGCTAATGCTCTGCTGTAGAAATACATCCCCAGCCTGTTTTCAGAAATTATTTACATATCCATAAGGATGATCTTCCTCAATTTATTATTACTTGTTTCAGACACATAAATACAGAAATACCTTAGGAAGATTTAAATCCGCTGAGGCCCCAGCTCATACATTTGGCTAGATAGCAGCTGCACATTCCCTGTAGGCCTTTCATTCTTAAAGATGAACAAAGCATAATAGGTCTAATGCACCTAACAATGACTCAGAACTGCTCTTTGCATTTGAGAAAAACTCAAATCTTCTATTTTTATCTGTAGTTTTTCAACTTAATTGAAAGAAAGTGCATTTTTCATAATAAAGTGTTAAGGTACACAAATTAAATACTCACAATCTGAAAATTTGAAATCCAAAATGCTCTGAGATATTTTTGTAGCACTGACAGAGTGCCACAAATGGAAAATTCCATAGCATAAAACTTTGCTTCATGAATGAAATAATTAAAAAAAGATTTTATGATGCTTCCAGGTTATATGTATAAGGTATGTATGAAACGAATCAATTTCTTGTTTACATTTGAGTCCCATTTGCAAGATAGATCATATATATGTATTACAAATTTAAAAATATTTTATTTAGTATTTTATTTTATATGTATGAATGTATTGCCTGCATCCATGTAAGTATACCCATGTTGTGCAGTACCTATGGAGGTCAGAAGAGGGTGTTGGGATCTTCTGGAACTGGAGTTACAGATGGTTGTTAGCCACCATGTGGGTGCTCTGCAAGAGCAGCCAGTACTCTTAACTGCTGAGCCATCTCTCCAGCCCCCAGTATTCCAAAGTTTAAAAAAAAATATCCAAAATCTGAAACAATACTTGTCTTAAGTAATTTGAATAAGGGATACTAAACATTTAAGTAGTGTCACACCACTGGCACTTTAGAAATTTGATCCCATTTTGCTTTCTTTTGCAGTTCCTGCATATCCCAATCTCATGTCTAAAACTGCTAAAGAAGAATAAAAAAATTACCAGAAAAATTTTGCTATCTTTCTAAAATACCTTCCCAAATAGGCAACGGCATTCCTTACTAAAAACCACCATCTGATGTTGAGTAAGTTACTTGTTGGTTCTGGATCTTTTCCTTCCCATCTTGAAAATGATAGCAAATTTCTCCTTTGAGTGTCTAGGACCTTAATTCTTGTCTACCTGATTCATTTTAAAGTTGGGGAGTGGGTAATAATAATGATCACTGCAGGTGGATAATGATGTTAAGGACCCTTACATGTTGTAATTCTTTGATCATTGTTCCTTATGCTTCAGTTTATTGATTGTAGAAATCCTAAATTTATGGAAAATCATATTCACAAGTCTTTTTTGTTTTGAGAAAGGGTCTCCCTGTAGGCCCCCAGCTGGCCTGGAACTTGCTATGTAGACCAAGCTGGCCTTGATTTCAGGAGATCCAGCTGCTTTTGCTTCCCAAGTGCTGGGACTAAAGGCATGTGCCAGCACA